CTCTCTCTATCTATCTATCTCTCTCTCTTTCTCTCTCTCTCTTGCATGTGGGTGTATGTGCTGGAGTTTTTGTTTCGATATTGAGAGAGAAGACAGACACGCGGATAAGAAAGAAGATATAGGCACAAAGGCAAACGGGAAATAGTGTAAGAAAAACACGAACTGAGAGAAAGATCTTTTTATTTCACGAACTAAATACGATAAGGGGAAGATACTTTTATGCAATCTGAAATCTCTTCATCGTTTCACAGAGACAACCAGCATTGGCACGTTTGTAGTTTATCTGTATATTTTAGTATGTATGTGCGTATATGTGTATTCTAGTATATATAATAAGTACCGTATTCATGTTTAATGTAGTGTCACCTCATTGTTAACACAAATTCCCTTTGGGATCCATAAAAGATATAATTTTATTTATTATTAGTTTAATTCAATCTTTTAGATAGTATCCAGTTTGTAAAATTACTCTCAAGTAACACCCCTCTTCATCTTCGACTCATATATGTGACCTGTTCGTGTTGCAGGTGCTGTAAACCTCTTACTAAAACTAAACTAAAAAATGGGATTTGTTCGTACAAAAACGTTTACGCGATTTCAACAAAAAAATATATAAATAAGTGTAGAATTCTGCTGTGATTTCACAACAGCACAAATATTCTCCATTTCCAGCTGAGGAGAGGGAAATCGACAGCGCTGTTTCAGTTTTTTCCCTTTATGGTATACTTGCCTTTCGACGTGTTTGGTGAAAAGGACATCATTGCTTTGTTTAAGGAAACTCGAGAGTTTACGTAAGTATGATGGGTAGCAGCTCGCTACCTTAGCATTACAAAGTTCTATCTGCTCAGGGCCTAGTTTTGAGAAATTTGACGTAAAAAATATTGAATTTCACAATGTGTCAAGCTTTTTCGAAAATAGTTCGTTGAATACCTTGACAACGACTCAGACAAAATAATATTATGATTTTGATAGAGCAGATAGAGTATTTCATCTCTGATCTCATGGTATTAATAACTCAAAACGGCCAAAAATAAATGTCAAATAACTTTGTAATTCTGAGATAACGAGCTATATGTATAATCAGTGTTGTCTCCTGCCCTATCTATCTATCTATCTATCTATCTATCTATCTATCTATCTATCTATCTATCTATCTGTCCAGATAACATCTACAAACTGTTACTTTTCACTGCTTTGTAAAGTGTTTGTCATTCGATCCTCTTGAACGTTTTGATTGATTGTTTGATTGCTTGCTCGTTTGGTTGGTTTGTGATCATTGATCGATCGATCGATCGATTGATTGATTGATTTGTTGGTTAATTGATTAGTTAGTTAGTTGATTATTTCATTAATTGATTGATTGGTTGGTTTATGGGTTACTATGAATTAGAATATTGACACAAAACAAAATATTTTCTTTATGGTTCATATATTTATTCATATTACAACAGGGAGAGCGTCGTGGTTGCTTTATGGCCCATGCAGTTCAATATCAAAGAGAGTTTTGGGTCCATGTATTTACGGTACAGCAGGGAAAGCAGGTTGTTTTACGGTCCATGTCAAAGAGGTTATAAATACAACTAAAGGTCTGAGCTATGACGTCACGAGTGTCACACTTGAGGGGCGCGCCGCCATTCCGGAGAGGAATAAAAGGCCAATCGGTACACAGCAACACTTTTCAATCACGGATTAATGATACACTTCGAAATCTTTTGATGTTGATTTCTTTTTCCTGTGATTTGCCTATCGCTAAAATGTACTCATAAGGATTTTTCTGAATGTTTACTTTTAAATGAGCCAGATAATCTCTAAATAATGTAAATAGGGCCTTTTACGCGGTGAGACCATATGAATGAATAAAATTCAGAAAAAAATGAATGAGATGGACTTAATGATCACTTTTTCAAATTAAAAAAAAAAATTTTTAATTGAAATCTTTTGCTGTGAGTCGCTCAAACATTATGTCTAGATTTAGCCCCGCTGCCCACAACAAGGCGCTCGTATCGGCCCTCTGGAATCAGGAATGTGATTGAAAAGCTGCTAGAAGCTTCAGCTGCAACTCTGGCACATCATCAAGGCTGGCTAAACGGAAAAGAACCACTGTCGATGTTGTTGAGATGAAAGAATATAAAGAAAACAACCAGGCATAACTACCAGCCAATACGACCGGCGTAATATTCTGACTCATTTGTGGAACCGATGCCAAACCGCATGAATGTACAACAGCAGCAGCAGGGGTTCAAGGAAGATAGAGTGTTGTCACAGTTGTATAGCCAAACACCATTGCCAATCAACGCCAACTTTAGAAAATATTATGAACGTTTAAGATATACCGGCTACTATCTAAGTGTTGCATTTAAAAATGCTGTCAGAATTTTTGTGCCCGCTCTTTGGGTGTGCGCACAGGATCCACACAATGAGTGATTTACAGTATCCCAGCCTACAATTACTTGCTCATTTTGAGACAATGACGAATTAATAAAATAATATAAGTATTGAATAATTAACTCAGTCACAACCCCCTTTATACTCTATGAAGACCTATGCTTTGCATCAGTAGAAGAAGAGTGTAGACAACATGACATAAAAGCAATCCATTTTTATAAGTATGAAATTGTCCTTTAAAAAAAAAAAACTCAATTACCCACTTTACCTTCCCCCACCCCTCTCCCACCATACCCGGGAAAAACAAACAATACATCATATTATATAATTCTGTTCTTTTGTAACCCACATTTAAGTGCAATGTATTACGGTATTGTGTAGGCTATGCGTATATGTTATATGATTAAACAACAACAACATACAAAATGAAAACTTAAAATAAAACTGAACTGCTGTAAACTCTCTAAAGACCTAGACGTTGCGAGGGGACGCGCAGCGTGACAGCGCTCTTTCTAATCTTCTAAAAAATGGCGACAAAGCGAGCTGAGAAGGCCCGCACAGCCATAGTATTTTTACGTAGGTGACGTCACAGCTGCGACCTCTAGTACCATTATAACATCTTTGGGTTCATGTATTTACGATACAACAGAGAGAGTGTTGTGGTTGCTTTATGGTCCACGTATTTATGCTACAAACAGGGAGAGTGTTGTGAAGGAACGGCTGGAAGGATTTGACCCGGAGGTCATGGATAGTTTTGTGGCAGCCTACAGGCGAGATATGGAGAAAAAACAGGACTCAGGTGTCCACACATATCTAGATGGTGAGAACTGATTTCTGTTTGTCATCATCATCATCATCATCATCATCATCATCATCATCATCATCATCATCATCATCATCATCATCATCATCATCATTGTTGAGAATGCAGAATGGGGAAGGAGAGTCTTGAATAAATTTTAAGCAGGAAATGTATATGAAAGAAGTAATCTTATTAAAACGGCTCAATGCAGAGTTTTGTCTGGAATGCTGTTTTTACGTCACCTGAGAGTAAAACTAGACAGCGCTGTATATTATGCACCAAGGAAATCCATCACCATTATCTCCATCATATTGGAATCAACATAGACAACATTACCACCATCCTTACCATCATCATCATCATCATCATCATCATCATCATCATCATCATCATCATCATCATTGTAGGTAGTAGGGAATTTTTTAAAAAAGGGTTTGAGACTTTAGTAGACTTTTCAAATTTAATATAAATTCAATCATCATCATCGTAATCGTCATTCACGAGGCTTTTCAATTTCTTAATCCACAGAAAGAAATCTTAATTGTGTGATTACCCATCTGTTCTTTGCCGGCACAGAAACAATCGCTTCTACGACCTTATGGTGCTATCTTTTCATTCTGCATCATCCTGAAGTGCAAGAAACAGTACGTATAAACAACTAGTCAAAGAGTGTGCACTGCTGAAGATACATGTATAAGGAAATATGGAAGAGAAGAAAGACAGTAGAAGCATGAAGGACGGGAGGTGTAAGAACGGGCGTATGTGTGTGTGTGCTTGTGTGTGTGTGTGCGTGTGTTTCTGTTTGTGCGTGTGTGTGTGTGTGTGTGTGTGTGAGTGTGTGTGTGTGTGTGTGTGTGTGTGTTTGTATGTGTGTGTGTGGATCTGTGTGTTAACGTCTTTTGTTTCCGGTTTTGTCTTTTCTTTTCTTTACAGTGTGCAAAACTTAGTTCTCCCAATGTTATACTTTTATTCAGACATGGTAAATTAGGGAGGAGACGATAATGGCAAGACATCTGACCCATAATATTGTCTTTCAGCAGTTTGATGAAACAAAATAAAAGAATAATTTTTCTCAATATTTATGCAACCCGAAACATACGAGTTAATCAAGCATAATCAGACGCCGTTTTAGCGATATTTGTATTATTTCTGTGAAGCTGTAGTTCAAGAGTACATGTAAACATTCCCTCATCAAGAAAAATTAAAATGTGGGTACTCCACTGTATACGCAAGGGTATTGAGCAA